CCACCCCACCCCATCCACCTCGCCAGGCGCCCGAGTGGCTTCTCGAGTCAGAGTTCTTCCAGGACCCGCCGGTCGGCAAGGAAGGCAGCTCCGGCGGCCTCGCAGGACCGAGACGAGCCGAGACGGGCCGAGACGGGCCGAGAGGGCCTGAGAGGGGCCGAGACGAGCCGAGACGAGCCGAGACGAGCCTTGTAGGACCGCCGTAGCGAGTTGCATGCCGGTTTCTTATGCCGCCCGGCACTCTCACCCTCCGGGCCCGCGACAGGCACCAACCCCGCCGGCTGGAAGACCTACGGCAAGGGATTGCCGCCCACCGTCGCCAAGAAGAAGTAGGCAGGTTGGCGTCGCGCGTTCACAGATCGGTGAGGCTCGGAGAGAAGGGCGCGTGCTGTTGTGTGCGTCGTGGCGGGGGGGGGGGGGGGGGGGCGGTCTCCCGCGTGTACAGAGGTGCGTATCAGAGACACGGGCCGGCATTCTGCATCTGGGAGGTGTGGGGTGGTGTGGCGGGGTATGGGGAGGTCTGGGTCGGTCTGCCGCATCTAGACCCCCCTCGCCCTCCCTCCGCGAGGGCCAGCCGGCCCGGCCTGGGCGGAGGGGCGGTGCTGCGCTGCCATGGGGCGGTACGGCAAATGCTGCGCCCGCTCGCCCTCTCGGGCGGCGTGCCCACGCGCAGCATGCGCCGGCGGCCGCGGCGGCGGCCGCGGCGGCGGCGGGATTGCGGCGGGATTGCGGCGGGATTGCTTGCAGCTCAGGTACTCTCCAAAGCCGCAGAAGCGGCAGGCGGACGAGTTGCCTGCGTTGCAGCCGAGCCCTCCTGAGAGCGGCGGGCGAGTGCCGGGGTTAGCCGGGTTCGGCCGGCGGTTGGCGGTCTAACTGAGATTTAGCCGAGCTTTGGCCGCTCGGAGGTGTGTGTGCGATTGGCTGTCTGGCTGACGGGGGCGGCGGGGCGCCTCCGCTCGAGCAGAGCAGGAGGGCCAGATCTCGGCTCAGTCTCGGCTCAATCTAGGCTAATCTCGGCTCAATCTCGGCTCAAACTCGTCTAATCTCGGCTCAATCTCGGCTCAATCTCGGCTCAATCTCGGCTCAATCTCGGCTCAGCCTCGCCTCTGCTCAGGCAGACCACGTCCCGCTCGCACCACTCGGTCACTCCTCCGCACACCGCCGCCGGAGCCTCGCCGCAGCGTGCGCGCCGCAGCTCCTCGAGCCACTCTGCCTGCTCGAGGGAGGCGGGAGGCGAAGGAGGCGGCGGCGGTGACGGCGGCGAGGGGGGCGGCGGCGGCAGCGGCGGCGGCGGCGGCGGTAACGGCAGCAGCAGCGGCGGCGGCAGCGGCGGCGGCGGTGGCGGCGGCCACAGCGGCGGCGAGGGAGGCGGCAGCGATGACGGAGGTCGAGGCGGCGGCTGTAGCGGCGGCAACGGCGAGAGAGAGTGAGCCGTTCGTTCTCGGGCTGGAGGGCGCGGCGGAGGCAGGGTCGGCGGAGGTGGAGACGGAGGCGGAGGCAGCGGAGGAGGCAGCAGAGGCGGCGGCGGTCGAGGGGAGGACGCCGAAGCCTCCTCCTCCGTGGAATCACCCGAGCCATAGTCTCCCGGCAGCGACGGCGATGGTGGAGCTTCCGGCGGCGGCAATCTAGGCGGCGAAGCAGAAGGAGTTGGACCGCGGGATGGCTGCGACGGGAGTGACGGCGACGCGGGCGGTGGTGCGAACGGCGAAGGCGTCGATGGCGGCAACAGTGGCGGCGGCGACTCGGGTAGCGGCGGCGACGGTGGCGACGGCGACGGCGGCGGCAACAGTGGCGGCGGCCACTCGGGTAGCGGCGGCGACGGTGGCGACGGCGACGGCGGCGGCGGCGACGGCGGCGGCGGCCGCTTTGCGCCACGGTGAGCAGCCCAGCGAGCTCCGCCCATATCGCGGCGGCCGCTTTGCGCCACAGGCCGGTCCCGGGTGTGAAATCCACACTGCCCTGCCCTGCCCTGCCCACACTGCCGAGGTGTGAATACCTGCCCGCTCCCGAGGTCTCGGAGAAACTTCTGTAGGCCGTATATGGTAAAACTAGCAGGTTGGCTCGCTAGTCGCTCGCCGGCCCGCGCAGCACGCGCGGGCCTTTTTTGTGGTCGGATGTTGGTCGTCTCGAATTTGATCGTGGGCAGGGCGTGAGAAAGCTGGACGCCTCGGTCGATGCGAGCCACCAGCTCGTGAGCGACGGGCGCGACGGGTTCCTCGGCGTAGGCTTGGGCGTGGTGAGCAGCGCCGGCGAGAGAGGGACGGCATGCGGCTCCCAAACGAGCCGCACGGGCTTCATCTGGGCCGCCGAGGCCACCTCCTTGGTCGCGGTGGCGGGCGTGAACTGCGAGGTGGGCCGAGGCAAGCGCTGAACGTGCCGTGCCGCCTTGCGCCCCTGAGGAGGGACGCGTGCGTGGGGTGCCACGGGCGGGGGGGAGCGGTGAGAGGAGAGCGGTGGGCACCCCCACAAGGGGTGCGAGGACGCCGCCTGCCCCCCCCAGCCCGCCACTGACGCCGTGGGGGCGGCACGATCGAGGGCGCTGGTCGGGCGGGCCGTCTGAGTCGCCCAAGCGGTGCTCTGTCGGCCGGTGGACGCGCGCGAGGGTGGCCCAAGAGGGCTCACAGCGGCTCGCATTCGAGCTCACCGAGGGTGTCGACCAGCAGCTGAGCCTAACGGACATCCGCTACGACGCACAGCTCGCTTGCGTGCTCCGGCGGCTCGACATTCATCAGAAGCAGCAGCTCGCCCTCTTCCGCCTGCTGTGGCACCTGAGCGCGGCGGCGGGCGGCTGCGCACCCGCCCCGGAGCCGCCGCGTGCTCCATTCGAGGCGCAGCTCTCGATGCGGGCCGGCGACGGCGTGGATCTCGAGCTCGCCATCCTCTTCCGCGACTGTCGCTTTGTCGAGCAAGACGAGCCGGAGCCCGGCGCCGGAGTCTTGCGGCGCCTGCAGGGCGACGCGGCCCTCCAGCAGTTGCTCCGCGACCTGCTCGCCCCAAGCCAGCTCCAAGCACCCAACGTGTACGTCGCGGTCCTCGCCTGGAGGTCGAGGTTGCCGGGGAGCGGCGCAGCCGCGCTCGACCTCGAGACGTCGTACGCCTACATTCGGCCACGGCTGCGCGCTGAGGTCTGAGCCACACACATGCCGTTGCCGCTGTGCCCAATAGGGTGTAGGTGGACGGTCCTCGGTCGCGGCGCCCTGGGGGGTGGGGGGCAGACGCACGCAGCATTGTGTGGGCGGAAATGGCCAAGTGTATGTCTATCACGTATGTGGTAGTAGGCTCAGCAGAATCGGTACGGTTCCAGCAAGCCCACGAGATATCGGCGATTTCGTTTATTTTTCAGTCCCAGCAGGCGCGCATCAGCACCAACCAACCGCGAATGCACGAGGGGCGTGCCTGCCTCTGCACAACCTCCTGCCCTTCTGCAACACCTCTGACGAATGCACGATGCATGCCTGCCTCCGCACAACCTCCTGCCCTTCTGCAACACGTCGCTCTCCGAAGTTGTCCGCCTCGACGACCTGACGAGCCGACTCAACCTCGATGAGCTCGTGGGCCAGCTCTTCATGGACGCGAACCTCGCGTACGGCAACACCACGATCTTCAGCTCGAGTAACGGCGACCTGCAGTCGACGGGCGTGCCGCGGCTCGGCGTGCCGCAGTTCAACTACATGGGCCAGGGCAGCCTCTACCGCGGCGCCTCCAACGGCTGCGACCTCAACTGCTGCACCGGCGGCAAGCCGCCGTGCGTCGTCGACCGTCCGGCCGCGACCGTCTTCCCGCAGGGCACGGCCTTCGCGGCGACCTTCGACACGGCGGCCGTCTTCCGCGCGGCCGTCGTCATCGCCGACGAGTCGCGCGCGATGCAGACGCACGTGCCCAACCGGACCGTCGAGTACCGCAGCGGCGCCTCGTCGGTGATCAACATCGCGCGCGACCCGCGCTGGGGCCGCGTGCCGGAGACCTACGGCGAGTGCCCGACGCTCACCGGCCTCATCGCGCTCGGCTTCAACAAGGGGCTGCTCGGCTTCGCCTCCGAGTCCGCGACGGCGCCGCCGCCCGTGCTCAAGGTGCTGCCGGTCATCCGGCACCTCGGCGCCTATGCGGGCCCCGAGCGCATCCGCTTCCGCTTCGACGCGCTGGTGACGGAGCCCGACCTGCGTCTCACCTACCTGCCCGCGTGGAAGCGCCTCGTCGCCGGCCGCGCGGTCGCCGGCGCGATGTCCGCCATCTCGGCGCTCAACGGCGAGCCGGGCATCACGCACAAGACGCTGCTCACCGACACGCTCAAGACGGCGTGGGGCTTCGACGGCTTCGTGCTCTCCGACTGCGACACCTTCCCCGCGCTGCTCACGACGTGGAAGTGGGCGGCGAGCGCCGCGCAGGGCGCCGCGGCCGCGCTGCTCAGCGGCGGCGACATCAACTGCGGCCCCGGCTACGCCGCGCTCGCCAACGCGACGAGGCTCCGGTACGTGTCCAAAGCGGCCGTGCGCGCCGCCGCGCGGCGCGCGCTGCGCATGCGGATGCGCGTCGGCGCGCTGCAGCCGCCGCAGACCGACCCGTGGCGTGTGCGCGGCGGAGCTGCTCGCTCGGCGCGCACACGCAGCCGCTGCCCGCGAGCCTGCACCTATGGGTGGGCGACGCGGCGACGCGCGACGCCGAGGTGGTGGTGGCCCTCGAGGCGGGCGCTGTGGGTGGAGAGCAGGACGATGACGACGAGAACGTTGTGTGGAGGCTGCCGCATGAGGAGCTCTGAGGAGAGTCCGGTCCGTTGTCCGCCGTCTCCCGAGTCGCCACGTGAGGGGCGACTCGATGCCCGTGTGGTCACGCCACGGGCATAGGCGAAACCGTGTGTGACGTGAGATAAAAAAAGGCACGGGAGCTACGGCGGACACCGCTCACCGGTCACCGCTCGAAGCGGAAGCCGCCCGCTCACGTCAGACCCACACCAGCCCCTTGGAGTGTGAAGGCTTCGTAGCCCTCCGGTCTACTGTTGCTCTGGGAAAGCTCGCGCGCCAGCGCGCACCACCCTCTGCCACCCTAGACCCTACTGCCTACTGCCTCCAGCCCCATGGCACATGTCACATGGACATGATATTCAGTGTATGTAGCTCTTACGAACATACCCGTAGGTGAACTGCTGACAGGATTTGCGATGAGGAGCGATCCGAACGTGGTATTCGGGTGATTAGATCACTACCGCCGTAACGCAAGAACACATATTGGGAGAGTGTGTGTGCGCGTTGTCATTAATAAACAAACAGACAAGCCCGCTCCCGGACGCCTGGCACGCGGGCCAATGGCCCAAATTCCTGTGCATGGCTGGAGCGAAGGAGGGAGAGCTCAGGAGGGCGACGGGGCAGGGAAGGGGGCGATGCGATGCGGCGAGGTCTAATCGGCGGCGTGGAGACAGGAGGTGCCAAAAGGCGACTATAGAGAGGCCTCTACGGGTGATATAGTGCGCCATGCCGGCGGGAGAGGTCTCTCTCACCGCCCCCCGGGCCGTCTCGAAGGGCCGTGCAGCCCACGCCACGAGGCGCTGCTGGCGGGAGCCTGGAAGGACTTGGCCTCGTTGCACCGCGCCGCGTTGATTCGCGACCACCGTCGGCCGCGGACGGCGTCGGCGTGGCGGCGCGGGCGCTCGCGAGACGCGCCGCTCTGCGCTGGTTCGGTTCGTTCGACGTTGTGCCGCCGCACGCCCGGTGGCCGCGGGTCCCAGAAGTGGTTGCGCGGGCCTCTTCCTTTCGGCCGCGGGACGGCGTCGGGCACGTCGTCGGTCGCAACAGCGGCGCGGCGAGCCGCGGCACGTCGTTGCTGGCGCTGGTGGTTAATGTCGGCATCGTCCAGAGCTCGGTCGACGAGTCGAGAGCTTCAGCTGGCCGAGGGTGCCACCTTTGTGCTCTTTGTGGAAATGGGAAATATATCTCTTTGATTCTTTTTGCTTGGCCTTTTTGCTTGGCCGTTCGCCGGGGTGGTAGGGTAGGTCTGGGCCCTCCGGTCGGGTTTTTCCCTCTCTCCACGCCGGAATTTTCACAACATAAAAAGAAAATTTCCGGGGAAATCACGATGTCAACCCTCCCCAAGTGGGTGATCTGGAGAGAGATGCTTGTAGGGCTTCTCTCCTTGTAGGGCTTGAGAGTGGCCTGCCATGGCACAGGAAGGACTGTGGTTGCAGGAGAGTACCACCAGCCATCACTTTGTTGGTATAGTATACCCCACCTTCACCCATCCCCTGATTTCATAAGTAAGGTAGGTAGGTAGGTAGGTAGGTAGGGGCAGGGCAGGGGCCGGCCAGGTTTTTCCAGAATTTCAGCATGGCGTACGGCCAAGCAAGAAATACCTACACCTGCCACAGGCGGTTGTGTTGGGAGGTTGTGTGAAATCCCCAGGGCCTCCAGGGCTCGCACCTCAACCTCTCATAGACCAGCGCAAAGCGCCATAGGACGTATTTTCTTGTCAATACCTCAATCCTGTACCGTGTTTGTTATGACCCCCCCCCAATGAACACACCAGTGAGGGTGCGAGACGATCGAGGGGTCCCGTACCATGCGGAATCGACCCTATCCAGTGCTCAAGTGCTCAAGGTCTGTGAAGCAGGTCGGATGTCGCAACACGATGGCCGAACGGCACGCTGCTGCGCCCCACGCCGCGGTGCGCGGCGGCGATGCTGGCGGCCTCGCTGCTGGCGATGCCAGCCGCGCCACTGGCACGTCGGTCGCCACTGTCACCACGTCTCTCGCCGCGGTGGAGCTCTGCGACGAGGACGTGGCAATGCGCTGCTCTGCTCAAAGCGATGCTGGCTCTGCTGCCGACCCTGAGTGGGAGGCAGTGCTGGCGCAGCTGCTAGCAGAGGAAGCAGAGGAAGAGGAGCTCTGCTGCCGCTTCGAGCGCCGTGGCGACGACTCCGACGACGGGTGGGACAACTACAGTGAGGAGGAGGAGGAGGAGGATGGCCATGCTGCTGTGCAGGGCGTGGCTGGGAAGGTGGACGAGTCGCTCGAGCGTCGGGACGAGCGGGCTTGCGCCACTGGTGGAGGATTCAGTATGCCGCAGGCGGCTCCCACCTCGATGGGTTATCACTCCTGCGACTGCATCGAAGAGGGCTTCAACATTCAACAAACAGGAATCGAGGGTGACCGCATGTCTGCATCAGACGTGTCATCCGTCCCGATCGTGACCAACCAAAGCCACCCCTCTTCTAAGATCCGCGCTTGCCCGGATCCTGAACCCTCTGCCGCTCCCAGCCGTGCTCGCCGAGCCTCCGCCGCCTCCACCTCCGCCTTCAATCTCAATGTCCCACCCCCCTGCGCGCGGGCCTTCTAGGCCCGCGGGTAGTCTCCCCCCATCCCCAGGGCCTCCAGGGCTCGCACCTCAACCTCTCACAGACCAGCGCAAAGCGCCATATAGGACGTATTTTCTTGTCAATAACAAGGTCTGTGAACCCTGGCACATGTATGTTGTAGGTGGATTGTCCAAAATACGTCAGCCTCGCCCGCCCGCCCGCCCGAAGAGTTTACCCACCCTTTCTACCTTAGAGCATGACGATTGTGCTCGCTACATAAGCTCTGTCCAAAATGGTGTATGAGCGTGGCCGTGTTTAATATGAGTAGTAAGTTGTTAGTTAGTGAGATAGAGCTGTATGTGCCGACTTCGGGGATCTTCGGGTGCTCGGCTTCGTGTGCGCCGCTACTGGAAGTGCGCGCATGTGCAGAAACTGTGTGTAGGAGGCGCTACCTGTAGGGCTGGGCACCGTCTCCTGCTAGCTTTCCCTTTCGTCGATACCGGCTCCCTCCCCCCCCCCGATTCGGGTAGCTTTTCAAAAGAAGAAAAATACCCGCAGCCAGCAGCCCTGACCGGCCCAGCTTACACTTGTCGCCAGTTGCGCCTGCAATTACAGATGTATATACACACAAATGTCTCTCGCCGTCCAGGCACTCGACGACCCGGTGGCTTTCGCCGACCAGATGCTCGCCGACCAGACGGCGACGCTCTCGCCGACCGGCTCCGAGACTCTGGACGTGGGCGGCTGGCAGGTCGTCGTCACCGACGGGCACGTGGTGCTGCCCGAGGGCATGACGCACCTGCCGGACAAGGCGTTCCAGGACCGCACTCCTCTCGTCTCGGTCGCCTTCCCGCGCAGCCTTGCCTCCATCGGCAGCAGCGCCTTCGAGGGCTGCTCCTCGCTCGTCTCCATCGACCTCCCCGCCAGCCTCGTCGCCATCAACAACCACGCCTTCCGCCGCTGCTCCGCCCTCTCCTCCGTCACCCTCCCCGCCGGCCTCACCTCCATCGGCATGGGCGCCTTCGCCCACTGCCCCTTCATCACCACCGTCACCTTCCCCGCCGGCCTCACCTCCATCGGCCCCAGCGCCTTCCACCTCTGCTCCTCTCTCACCCGCGTCACCCTCCCCGCCGGTCTCACCTTCATCGGCGAGGCCGCCTTCTTCCGCTGCTCCTCTCTCACCCGTGTCACCTTCTCTGCCGGCCTCACTTCCATCAGCAGCGCTGCCTTCGCCGGCTGCTCCGCCCTCTCCTCCGCCACCCTCCCCGCCGGTCTCACCTCCATCGGCGACTGCGCCTTCGACCGCTGCTCCGCCCTCACCACCGTCACCCTCCCCGCCGGCCTCACCTCCATCGGCGACGCCGCCTTCGAAGGCTGCCCCTCGCTCGCCTCCGTCACCGTGCCAACCACCTGCGAGATCGGCGCGGCCTTCGACCCCACGACCACCGTCGTCCGCCTCTCGCCTGCGAGCATGTGCGATGGAGATCCGACCCAGTG